CTGACCACAGTGAAAAGATGAAAACTAAAATGGTATGGGCATGTCACAAGATCCACAGGACTAACCAAAACAATCCTGCAAGGAACCGTACAAGGAAAGAGAAAGAGAGGAAGGCAGAGAAGGAGATGGGAGGACAACATTACAGAGTGGACAGGAAAGACGATGGGTGACAATCTGAGGAGAGCAGAGGACGAAAATAGATGGCGAGAGCTGGTTTTCCAATGCAGTGGTGCCCCAGTGGTTGCCCCAACCACGGGATAGAAAAATAAGAAGAATTACAATGTTCTATCTGCTCAGTACCTAGTTTTAGAGAAATTTGAAGTAAAAATCTTATTTTCACATGTCAAGCTTTTTCGAAAGCAAATCTTTGAACATACTTCTGTCCCCGTCGTTTTATGCGATTCTGTTAATTTTAACAAAGAATGATAAAGGAAAATAATCAGAAATTATGCAAAAAATGATAACATTTTGCTAAATTATGCGGGGTGCATAAAACCACGGGACAGAAACTTAAACGCAGGTGTTTTTACGCCCCCTTAGACACAATTTACATCGTCTTGGAGGTGAGCTTCGACCGTGCCTGTCGGGGCAAAACAACTCCGAGAGGGAAACAACATCGCAGTAGTAAGAGTAAGACTAGGGTACACATTAATTTTTTTTTAACCCACCAAAAAAAAAAGGAATCAAACTTCCATTTTGGAAGCCAGCAGGTAAGGCAAGGGATCAGAGGCGGTTTTCGCTGCCTAGAGGTAAAGGTGATCGCATCTCATTCAATAGGTCCTGGGTTCGAGCCCGGATGGTCACGCAAATTCTTCTTCTCTAAATTGTCTCCTTTCCCCTCTACACCTAGCCTTCTCGGACAAGGGCGAAAAATCTCAGAGGTCCCGTGTGCAAGTTGCGCGCGTTAAACTAAAGAGACTTGGCGATCCAAAATCTATAAAAGTAGGCTTCGGCTGCCACCCGGGCAAAATTCCAAATTTCCTACCAACTGAAAATGTGTCCCGCGCGCTCATATGACCTTTCTACATATTTCATTTAGTTTAATTAATGGACTGTTGGGAATGTCACTTCCCATTACACGTACAATCTACATCTACAAGACACATTGTCACCCGGTTCTCAATAACAAGAGAACAGTGGAAAAAAAAACGATATTCAAAACACTTCAATGTTTTTTCGTTCCATTTTTTAGTTGGATCTTTATTTGAAAGAAAGATGTACAAATGTGTGTGTAGTATGTGATAAATTAACGATATGCCAGACGCATTACACAGATGTACAAATGGTACTCAGCATAACAGATACGTACTGCGCATGCACATACACCCTTTATTTGATACCTTATATTTATAACATAACGTGGTTCAGCAGAAGGTCAGCTGATTTCTCTGCCCTCCCACACACAGGACCAATGTTTATCGACAAAAATCCCTAACCTTACCAACTTTAACTGCAAGAACGCTATTCCCCTGAGGGTACAAAAAAAGCTCCAAATAAAACTAAAACAATCTCAATATCACAAAAGGAATCCTCCTATTCTTACTCGTTTAAACTCACAAGGAGATTGGAACAAAGTTTGTTCAAAAGAATATCTGTGAATTAGTTTTTTTAAGAGAATTCACAGAATAATCAATAATACTCTTGAGTATGTTCTTATTTATGCCTGGAAACAGATCAAGACCACAGTAAAACTAGAAGAGTAGGCACAGACTGAACCAGAAAGCAACTAAACTACCTCCCCTCTCTTAAAAAGACACCCACTACTGTGGCTGGGTATGTTGGAAGAAGGTGACCCTGAGGCTTGAATCTGTACCTTTGATTACACGGCTCAATACGGAAGAAACAAGGTAATCAGTGTCACCATGTATTGGCCCATCTATGCAAGTTAAATGAACACTAAGACAGATAACTTGTAAAAACAAAAGTTACTGTCCTACTGTTACAATATCTTGACATAGAAGTGCAAGATAAAGTGTAGAAGTCTACACTTTACCATTGTCTGGAACTTAATAAAGTTGAACATGCAAGTATGCAATGTATTAATATAATGAAAAAACTATAGGCAACATAACGCAAAAATTGACACTCACACACATTCAAACAACAGGACAATGCACACTAGCACACATATTTACCTTGAGAGCAGAGAACAGAATTTGACAGATCGCAGTGCGCATATACCCCATGTCTTATTTCAAAGACAAGGTGAAGGGTTAATAAGTTAACATGAAGTTCGAGGGCAAAGATACATGGTAGGCAGAGGACTTACATTCCTTGTCTCACGAAAAGAAGGTACAACAATATAACTTTAAGGAAAACAATAAAGTTGGCTCACTGCAAATGGAGAGTCTTATTTACTCAGTGGGCTGGTCACATTGTATTTAAAGACTATACTATGTTGGAACAAAGTTTGGTTGAATTTACTGCCCCTAAATTTTAAACTAAATGTACTGTAAACACAGAATAAAACTGTACATTTTCTCAATATTATATAAAGAAAAAGGCAGTTTGTTTCTCCCCTGGGGACCACGCACTACAGGGGTGTCCTTTCAGTCATGGAATATATTAAATTGTTTTACACTTTCTGACTAATGCTCCTAGCCATCTGGAGAAGAAACACTGCACTTTGACTAAAAATTACAACCAGTGCCGAGATAATTTTGAGAATAACCTTGTCACCAAAGTCACATTACCAGGGAAAAAACAATGCAACGATAACTCATGGCCGATGTCACCGTAAACAGTTTTCAAACTACATCTTTATTTTCATTTCCCCAAATCGAACCAGTCACAAATTTGGTCTTTACTCTGTGAGTACATTGAAAAGAAAAGAGAACAGATTACATAGAGACATACAAGGCATATCAAAGCACAATCCTTATAAAATAAAGCTACAAGCACAAAGACAGCCAACAGCATAACAGACAAAAACCATTTGAAATTCAGTCAAACATGGAACAAAACTCGGTAAACCTGCCAAGTCGGGCGGACATAATACATGGAATTTTTTTTTTTTTCGATGTGAAAATAAACAAGAACAAGAAAATGAAAAATGACATACAATCAAGCATTTATTCGCTTTTGGTTTAGCCACATGTCTACAACTACTGTTCAACAATAGGCACTTAGACATGATCTTAAACAAATAAGAAAAAAAAACCCAACTCCTGAGTAGGAGATTATACAACCCTAAATGACAAATATGAGAAATTGCATTGAAACAAAATGACTGTCTAGCTTATATTCATCTTCCATTCACATTGAATTAGACCCTTCTGTACTGTGCAAGTAAATCCTAGCCAAGCATTTATTTTGTCAAGGTGGACAAACTTAGTTTGCATAAAACAAGAAAAACATTAATGTAAAAGGAGAAAACATAGCTTCCTTATGGCAGTTTCTGTTGAAACTGACAGAAACCTAACGGCTAGAAAGAAAAATCAGACAAATTTCTCAATTGTTGTGGAATGCAACGTTCATATATGTAAACAGAGTGCAAGTAAGCATACTGCTAAAAATCTTATTGACATGAATTTATACTGAGAGTCCCAAAAGGTATCTTTAATCAAGTTCATAAATCGAAGAACACATATTTGACTGTTCATGACCCAATTCATTCCTTAAATATCTTAAACTTTTTAAAATAAATATCAACATAAGGAAACTAAAAAAAATATGGTTGTTTGACATCTGCAAGTGATAAGTCTATATATATTTCAGAGCAAACATATGCTCCAACAAAATTCTAATGCATCTGAGGTTGCAACTGTCAAATGTACACCTTCATTCCACGCCATATGCTCTGCTGTAGCACCTATGCCATAATGCCAAATACAGGGTTGTGGCGACATATGCTGGGGCCATACTCGTCATAGTCCGCTTTGGTGTGACATACTTGGTAGAATTCAGGCTGTGGAGATCACACATACAAAGATATTTAAGACACTCTTACAAAGGTAAACATGTATGTCAATGGCTAAGATGAGACAGACTCACATGTGATAAATTTAGAAATATATTAACTTTCCTTCTAAAATGATTGCACATTTCGTTGTGCTGATTTTGAAAAAAAAATCCAACAGAATTGCAGATAGTATCAGCAATATTGGTAGAAGGGTGGGACTTGTCATATATGTATGCATGATTTTTTTTGTCAAGGGCCGCACACAGGCCCCCAGCAGGGATAGAGTCCCGGTGGCGTTTCATAGGGTGAAGCCTACAAAGAAAATGAAATTTAGTGCTTATAAAGAGTTGAAATCGGCATTTGGAAGCCTGTTAGAAGAGATTGCCAACAACCCATAACACCTATTAAAATTTTTTTTTACCAAGGTTTTGTCTTGTTTGATTTATTCATTGACAGGTCTTTCTCTTGCTGGCAACGTTTAAAATCAGGTTCCCCTTGCTATTGCTAGTATAATTCAATTAATTTGTTATCGCACCATTGACGGCAGGCAAATCTGGGAATAATGAATAAACATGTACCTTAACTCACTGAAGAGTGGGCCTTTTTCAGGTCTTTTTTAGTTTTAATAGAGTTTTTACGGTGCTCCCAACTGCATAAGGTCATTTGAGCGCCAAGGGGTGGAAGTAAACAGAAAGGTCCTTACAGGGAATTAGATTTACTCTGCTCACCTCTCTAGCTTCAACAGCACAAAGTCTGCTTCGACTGTCAAGGCACCCCGGAAATAGCGGGTCACAAGAATTTAACAAACATACAAAAAAAGTAGAGGAAAATGATGATAGCAAGGATTAGGAAAGAAAAAGCAGCAGTTCCCTGTTGCAGTTCAGGCACAATTATGAGTATGACATTGATGAATCAGCCCATTTACAATTCTACTGTACATGAGAACATGTTAATGTCCCCCCTTTGGGAATGGCCTAAAGATACTTCAGTCAGTAGCACCGCCACGGGGGGGGGGGGGGGGTTCGGGTCTACATGCGCTGAAGACTGGCATTTTTGGGGGTTTGTCAATATTTCAAACACCCTTCTCAAAGACAACAACCACCATTTTTACACACATAACAGATCTAAACATGTCTAATATTACACAAAAAAAGGGAAATGCAATATCTTTTATAGTTTTTTAGAAATTATTTTTAGAAAATGTGCTTAAATTTGTTGCTCGCCAACATTTTTTGACGTAATGTCTTTTTTTAAATAAAAAAAGCCAACAAAATCCCCCAAAATTAACCTTGTGCGTGTCTTTTATTGGGTATTGTGTTTCAAAATGAATAAAAAGTCCAAACTCATGAATAGGCAGGTAATCCCATGGTAATCCTTATATTAGCTAATCCACTTCAGAGTGATAAAAACAGGGCGGAATTTTTCATTTGAAAGCCTAGTCTAGATCTAGAACATTTTCTAACAGAATCAGTGCTTTGATTCTCATTTACATTGAAATCAGGATTCCCATGGTCTAAAATATCATAATCAGGATTTTCTGATCAGTCAAAGTCGACAAACACTTGATTGAAAAATGTTTGCTTTTTGTGCTGCCAAGTGGGTGGTTGGCGGGTGCTCAGGTGTTTCCTACGAAACAACTCTCGTCACGATCTCTCCTCCTTCTTTTTTGTGTTTGTTACTCTATTGTAACACCTAATCTTCGGCACTTGTACGACCTTATTGTGTTGCAAGTGTCGAAAAAACGCTTACTAAAACTAAACGTGCTGCCATTGTACTGACAAAGTGTTGCGAGAACAGACATGTCAGAGAAACGAAAGTAGGGCCTCAGTGTGATTAACTTTCCTTCCGGGTCGATAACTCAAAAAGTTTCCAGCCAATTTCCGCTGAAACTTCGCACAAAATGAAACAAAGGTCAGCTGCACGGTAAGAGATGGTTCACTCAGCTTTTGCGCGCATACTTTACCGAGGAGAAAACGCGAAACTTGTGCTTGCACGGAGTGCATGAACCGCCTCTCGGTAAAACATTGGTGCTAGCAAATGCAGCGAGAAACGTCTCCAGTTAGTTAACGATAATTACCTAACATATACCCTCCATTTTCACGTTTGAATGTCCAATGTCACAACCTCGTAACACTACTTCGAATTACTCTTGATTTTAGAAGTTTTAGTGTTAATTTCTTTCACTGCAGCCCTTCTTACGCCCTCGTAGAATCATCGCACTGACAATTTCTCTAGCTCTAGACAAATTTTTTTTAAAGTTTCTTCTTGATAGTGATTTTCTTCCTAAATTAACAAGTCAGTTTACTTGATCAACATGAAGATTTTCCAGCTGTGGAATACAAAGGGGAGTATGGATCCTTTGCTATGGCATCTCAGTAGCTCTAAGTTATTTCACTTTTTTAAGGATGGAGTTTATAATGATGAGAAAGCAAGTGCGGTACTGTCAGAAAGTACAGATTTCCGTAAAAGTACATAAGATTGAAAGCACTGGAGTAACAGAGTAGGAGAAAAATAAAAGGAATATAAGGTGTTAACAAGATACAGCACAATTACAAAAAAAAAGAATGAAAAAGAAAAAAAATTCAAAGAATTTAAATCCCCCCCCTGCGAAAAAAAAAATCTCATAAATTAGACCGCTGTGGTAGACCCCTCACATCCCATAACAATCTACTCACTGTGGAAGCCAACATGGAGCCACCAAACCAGACAGCATATCTCTGCATGTGGTGGGTGATCACAGAGACATCAATGGGCTTCGGCTGGAAACGAAAGAAAAACACAAGGTGAAGAATATTAACAATTTACCAGTGTATAGTTTAAGATGTTACGCAATATTTGCTATTTTGCCTATTTTGAGAGGAAGTCTCAGCCTGCTAATGATATACTCTCAGGGCTGCCTACCTCAAAGTTCCCATTTCAGGTAGATTCAGGGTCATTTTCAGATAGACTGGCCCAAAATCAGGTAGTACAAAGACAAAGAAGGAAAAAAAAGATGATCGTTGCCCCACCGAACACGCTTGCTTTCCATGATACATATATTGGGTAATTATATTTTGAAAACTTGTTTGTGCATGCAGTATTGGGTAATTATATTTTGAAAACTTGTTTGTGCATGCACATGTGTGTGTGTGTGTGTGTGTGTGTGTGTGTGTGTGTCTGTGTGTGCATGTTGCCATGCTCTCGCATGTGCCTATATATGTAATATGTGCGTGGGGAAGGAAGAAGGTGTATGGGTGTGCACAAGTTAAGAAGAACAGTGTGTATAATGAAATGAGGCGAGGCTGGGTTTTTAAAAAAAATCATTTTATGGACTATCGTTCAAGGCACCTATCATTCAGTATTGAATCTGGAATTGAGTGCAGGGTGATTGCCAAACTGACTTCAAAACCCCTAGCCCATAGCAATAGAAACTAAATTAAAACATATTTCCTGACACTAGCATAGGACACCGATAGGTCCTTTGTGACTTAGGTATGACAGACAATTAATTTTAACTAGTTTTACCCTAAACATACAAAATGAATCCTGTTCTGGGCCTGAGGAGAGGCCAGAAGAACACTAACTGCCAAAACCATGTTTGGTTTCAGAAATCACAGATTATAAAAAGTATGCAAGACAAACTTATTTATAAAACCTTTATAGTTAGGCTCCCGGCAGAGCAAAAAGTGAAAATAAAAGAGAGTGTGTACCGATATAGCCGGAGCTGGAAGGACTGTGAAAGTGTGGGGTGTAGTGATGCAACAAGCCATCATGATGCATAGGTATCCAACACAGAGCTTTCCGATGGTTGGGGGCATTTACTCATTGCCACTATTCAATTTGTCATCACTGACAAATCCGACAACTCCGGGAACACTAACCTTGAAGATATAATCATCAAGCCTGTGCTCTAATGTTCCTTCATTTACGCACTCGATTGTCGAAGGTCAAAACCACGTCCACTTATCGTTTTTATTTTAGCATCAGTTTCTTGCACCGCGGCCTTTTCCTGCTGCCGTAGACTGTATAGCATCAAACACCTCCCCTCAATTCCGACGCCCTGCAAAGCTCCTACTTTGAATGAACTTTGATATGGCTTTCCCCAACAACTACCGGTTGGTCCCTTGCTTATGCCGTACTCACGAACTCTCACAGGTCCATTGACCGGTCACGATGACGGGCCCGACAATCTAGAAATTGGAGGACGCTTGTTTTCTTTTTCTTATTCTTTCTTGTCATTATAGTGACATCAGTGAGAATATCGATTTAATGTTTATGGCTACACTATGTTTTTTAGGCAAAAACTGCAGGTTACAAATTTTTATTAACTAAATCTAACGTCAACGAACTATCATTCGACAATTCTGAGCGGTAACGAAAGCGAAAGTAGATTTTGATTTTCCCAATGGAGTCTCAGTATTACACCTACACTTCCGATTGCCACCATAGCCGCTCATTCGCGCGAAACGTACTCTCGGACTGGGGAAAGCCAAAAGTAATATCACAAACGCGACCAGTAAAACATGAACTCAGACGGCTTTTCAGATTTGGTTTCGGGGACTTTGTGCATTTTCTCGGGTCCCGGGTAATAAATTCCCGCAGTCCCCCTGCGTAGAATCCTTATTTGGTACTGACCTAGGCTTTCTCAGTTCTAGGTACTGACCAATTCTCTAGACCAAGACAGATTTTAGAATGTTATGCTTCGATACCGATTTTCCTTCTAAATTCCCAATTCCGTTTTCTGGATAAATGAATTAAATGCAAAGATTTTCCAGCCGCAGCAAAAAAACTGAAGATAGAAAGAAAGAATGAATGAAAGGAAGGAGGAAGATTATCTATCGTGAGTAGACAGATTTCGGCCGATATGCACTTGTAAAATTATTGCCGACCGAACGGCACAGATAGACTCGTAGACGAGTGTACGAACTGCGCAATCTGGCAGTTTCTAAGACAACTTATTGCCGAGAGTTGCTGTAAATATCTGACAAGTTACGGAGGCAAGTGCTGATCTCTCTCTCTCTCTCTCTCAACGCATGGAGTTGATATGATGATGCGGCAAGTACGGAACTTTCGGAATGTACGGATTTCCGTAAAAACAAAGAAGAATGGAAGCACTGCAGAATGGTTTTTTTCTTTTTATTCTCTCGGCACCCATCGAAAATCCAGTAGTTTTGACACCTTATCGGTATGTCGGTAGAACAGGCCCAAAATCGGTATCTACCGGAAAAATCGGTAGATTTAGGCAGCCCTGTACTCTGCATGATTACAGCTTCTCCACTAAATATCTGAACAGAAATAGTATTTTATATACCCATAAGACAAAAAAAATGATTCCTCTCAACTTAAAGGTCTTAAAAAATCTAATCTATAACAAGATCTGGATAAACATTATATTAAAAGAAAAAAGGAGGGAAGGAACCTCAAAAACGTACTGTAACAACTGAAGCCAAAAGCAAAATTCCCAAACTTCAAATCTCCGTTGACAAAAAAAAAAAAACATACCTTGATGCGACCTGCACTGAGATCCTCACTGACTTTGAGTCTTGCATCAACTACACGCTTCACATCCCTTTGAATCTTTCGTCCAAAGTCTCGGAACATGGTCGAACCACCAGACAGAACAATGTTCTGTAATAGAAACCAAAATGTATTGCATGAAGAACTTAACTACAAAGAAAAATAACCTAACACATGGAGGATGTCATTTGACAATCTGCACCAAGGAATGCCAGATAGCCACAAAGTTGATGCATGGTTCAAGATGAAGAAATCAAAAACATTTTGATTTATATGAATGAAACAAGAGATGCCAGCCAAGGAAAACTGTTCAAGCAACATGTATCACCGCCACGCTAAAAAAATCCATGCATTGTAACCACAAAAAATTAAATGGCTTCCTGGGAAAATAACAATTAATTCATAAAGTGAACAGTAAAAGGAACAAATCTGTTGCCAAGCTACATTTTTTTTTTGCAGAGTAAGAACAACTTAACTTTTTTTCTTTCCTTTTCCATTATATTATGGAGAACATCACATACCGAGACAGAAAAGTGGGTATTGCGGGAACTTATAACTTATATCCACATGATAACTTGCTTTTCATCAGTAATGGGAGGCAATCCAAACAAAAAGAAACAAAACAAAAGAAAACATAGATCTCAGATGCCCCATGGACATCTGGAGGCTTTACCTTATACAGTCCTCTCCTCACATCAATGGGGCAGTTCTGAATGACATCATCAACAACTTCAGAGATCGGTGCCTCAAAGTCAGGATTAGAAAACTAAACGGTTGGAGGGAAAGACAAAAGTTTACATTCACATTCTGACTTCTGTCAAACAGAATAAACAATTTTTGAAAAGGTGAAATAATATCAATACAAATGCAGCACTAAACTTGCGGATGTATTTTTAAATAAACATAAAACCACCACTGAAAATGACTTAAGAGCCACATCACGGAAGCATTTCTGTGGGACTCTGGAAAAATTAAAGGTATCTCAAATGCTTAGATATTCTTTTAGACAAAATCTTAGTACAGGAAGCACCATCAGTGAGGTACAAAATAACCATGAAATACGTCATAGAATACAATTGTCTATAAAATGGGTCAATATTACAGTATGCAGAATTATCAAGGTACAGCTATATAACCACAAATCCTGCAAATACTGTATATTATGTCGTCCGAGTAATTACCTCAGGATGGAAGAAGATTTCAGGTCCCAAGAATCTCTCGTAACCAACATCAACACTGAACTTGCTCTTGCTCACGGCATTAATGCCTTCGAATTTCTTCATCCATTTGGCAGGGTCAGAATCATACTTGGCAAACTCTTTGGCAATGTCAGGGCACACGTAACTGTAACGCTCCTAGTGGAAAAATGAAAATAAAAAAACAATGATGAAAACTACTGTAAAAAAAAAAAAAAAACAGCCTTTATTAGAATAGGACCACACAGTTAATAAAATAGTACTGAAAAAAGAAAGAAAGACCAGCCTAATGTTAAAGTAGTATGAGGAAGAACTTAAAAGAGCATCAAACAATCAGAAGTGAACAAGTTCAAAATAGTAATCACTTTAAAAGAAAGTAAACATGAAACAGAGAATTACAGCTAAAGTTCAAGAGAGCTTTTTGACTGCTGCTTCTTTTGGGTGTGTTGCGTTCACGATAAAAACCTTCTATTTCTCTTTCTGGAGTACTTAAAATTTGATCTAATACCTTAACACATTACACACTACCTCGCCCGTGAATTTCCTTTCGCTTTTCACCTTAACTCGTCCAGTCCGACCAGGCATCTTTACAAACGAAGTCTCACCTTAACGAGACTCTGGGGCCGAGATTTTGTTTTACATACTTATTGCAATTGTTCTTCCTTCGTTTGATACTGAAACTAAATTTTTCGGACCAGTAGCGTTAATATTAGAGCTGATCGAAGCGTGATCGCGTTTCCGACATTTCGAAGGTGTCCCGAGTTGTTGAAAAGCAACACAATCGAGTTTGAAAAAGGAAATAAAAATGGATTTGAGCAAGAACAAGCAAATGACAAATCAGATGAATCAGATATTGATGAAACATTGTAGAAAGAGTTAATCAGATGAAGAATTTAGATCTATGGCCCGACCGCAAGGCTGACAGTGTGAGTGACGGGTCGGACACCCCGATTCAAAAAAGTTAGAACATTTCCTACACATTTTTCCTAAACTACATTCATATTTTGTCTTTTTAACATTTATTTTTTTCAGGATTTTTGGAATTTGTTTAGTATTTTTTTTAATGTGTTTTTTAAACGCTTGTATTCACGGGAGTTGGTTCCTTCCCCTTGTTTAGGACGTGGGGGTAGGCTTCCCGTTCAGACCCTTTAAAAAAAAGATAATTTGAAGTAGAACTGTAAAGAACAGAGAAATGTCAAAACATACCTTAATTGCCTTGGCAGTCTCCAGTGACTGCTCAGGGGGGATGCCCACCTCTCTCTCTCTCAGAAGCTGCTGGATGAAGTAGGTGATATCACGGCCAGCAATAGGGATGTGCTTGATGCAGCTACCGATGACGTAGCCCTCAGCCTGAAAACATAGGGTGAAACAACAGTATCATGTAACTGAACCTGAAAATTATACCAAACAGTGAGCAATAACAACACAATAATTAAGCCTGACATTTTTCAAATTCTTTTTCTTACCTCTTAAGATCAAACTTTAAATGGGCAGACTTTTTGAGACAGGAAACAGAGTAAAACAAAAGCAAAGCAAAAAGAACAAAGCCAAACTGCCTTTTATGGTAGTTATGCAGCCGCACAACCGTGTTTTGTCAATTGCAAACAAACACTCAACCAGTCTTCCTCTTCAGGTTTCCATAATTCCGGTTTACATACTTATGCTGTCGTTATGCAGAACTGTGGCTTTAAGTACACATGCATGTCTCTGTAAATACATGACTACAGTGCCATGCCCTCGAGATCTGATCAATAAGGGTAAGTGAAACGACTACTGAAAGAGCAGAACTTTTTACAGAACAAACATAACAACTGCTCAGTGTAAGACTCCATTTGAAATAGCGTATGGCGGAGTCTTACACAAAGCAGTCGATAAGAACACCAACCACGTAAGAAAGAGGGATTGGGGGAATATGATAATGTCTCCTCCGTAATATTTATACAAATTCCATTTCACCAAGAATAAAATACCCTACAGAGCTGTTACATACCACTGGGATAACGTGAGTCACGCCGTCCCCTGAGTCAATGACAGTGCCCGTCAAAGTTCTCTCTCCCACTTGCCGGGAGGTCCAAGAAGCAGCCAGAGCAAGGACAGCCTGAACAAAAGTTGAGAGAAAAGATGAATGCATAATTAGCAGAACTTATATGAACAGGTTTCTTTATTCAAAATTTAAAAAATGTTCATTTTCTTCATTAATCTAGTAACAACTACTGCTGGCTCACTTTGGCACTCACAAAAATGGTTCATCTTTTATTACACTATTGCAACATTTGTTACTCTTGAAAGTACTTTAGGGGCTCTCGTGGCCTAGAGGTTAAGGTGTTGGCCTCTCATTCAAAGGTCCCGGGTTCGATTCCGGGTAGCGACCAAAAAATTTTCTTCTCTAAAATTGTCTCCTTTCACATCCTTTCCTGATCTCTAACAATGTTCTGTTGTCTGCTTTCATTTCCACTTTCTGCCCCCACCCCCTCACCTCCTTTGCCCCCTCCTCTGGGCTCCTGACTCTTTCTGCAGCCTTTCTACTGCTACTCCTTGGCTTCTCCTAACTGCTGTCTTTCTGCCACACCCCTGATCTTCTGGTAGGAAAGATCTACACCTAGCCTTCTCGGACAAGGGCGAAAAATCTTGGAGGGCCCGTGTGCAAGTTGCGCACGTTAAAGATCCCTTGGTGGTCTAAAATCGATAAGAGTAGGCTTCGGCCGCCACCCGGGTAAAATTCAAAATTTCCTACCAACGAAAAAATATTAGGTGTGTCCCGCGCGCTCATATGACCTTATGCAGTTGCGAGCGCCGTAAAACCCTATACTAAACAAACAAAACAAACAAAGTACTTTAGAATATTTCTGCTAATTATGCATCTTGTAGAAAAAGACTCTCCAGAAGTGAACTTTCATTCTCAACCCTTACAAATGTAACAAGAAAAGGATATCCATCCATGTTATCAGTTTCTAATCCAGCCTAAAAATTTATAAAACCAACTTTCAGGAATAATCTAAGATCACACATTTTCTGTGTTTCACCTTACTGGCACAATCCTCGTGCCTTTTTTTTGTTTGTAAAAACAATTCAATTTCATTTTAAAAAGTAAATCAGAAACTGAATACTGACAATGGCAAACCAGTTGAATAATTATCTTTTAACAGTATGTTAATAAAGGAACTATTGCATTCGCTGTAGTCTATAAATTTACCTGCACAGCAATATACAAGCCTGGGACATTGAAAGACTCAAACATGATCTCAGCAGTGTACTCTCTGTTTTCTGGAGTGTTCAGAGGTGGTTCTGTCTGGAAATGACAAATTAACAAAAAGAATTTTAAACAACCATCACTGTGAGATTGCACAACTTTAACAACATTATAACGACACACTGGTAGTGTACATGCAAATTATTTTTTAGGGTGCTCATTTTTTTTTTTTCATTTTGATTTCTCTTCAATCATACGCTTCCTATCTCATTCAATTTTTTTCAAACTGTGGCTTGTTGATTCTGACATTTCCCTGAGTGTGAAAGACCTGAAAACTAAAAACAAAGAACGAATACAGGAAGGGGTTATTGCAATTTTAAAACTATATCATACGGAAACATAACAAAATTCACAAACAAAGGCACATTTATAAGACACCATTATCCTTGGGTGATTGATTTGAAAAAAGATACAATCGTCAAAGTACGACTTTAACCATGAATCAATCAAATTAGGTCAAACACTTTCTAGTCCCAATTTATTTTATTCATGACCTTAAATAATTATAATAATAATATAATAATAATAATAATTGCATTTATATAGCGCATATCCATGCTCAAGAGCTTGCTCTATGCGCTTTACAACTATTATTACCCCAGCAGACCCTCTGAGAACACTCAGAAACATTTTCAGCTTCCGCGGAAGCATACAGTGCAAGCTGCTGATTTCACGCGCTCAAACACTATCAAACTGACAAGATCTTTCACCGTCTATAGCTGGGTACCCATTTCCACCTGGGTGAAGTGAGGAAAATTTGTGCAAAGTGCCTTTCCCAAGGACACAACGTCGGGCCCCTGACGGGATTCGAACCCACGACCTTACGGTTGCGAGTCCGAGAGCCTAACCGCTAGGCCACCGACGCCACAAAGAGTAGTGATACTATGTGTTTTTATAAAAAACAAAAACACTACACACAATTTTGAGCAATTCTGATAGATGATTAAAAAGATTTGACATTATTCTAATATTTCTGAAAATCAGTATTCATATACGAACACCATTTCAGCCTCACATCAATGATATTGAGTTCTAACATGACAATAGCAAATAAATTCCTTTAATAGTGTAAGTTAACAAAAAGCTACACAGTAAAAACAAAAAACTTAAGAATAAAAAATCAAAGAAAGAGGAAATGAACTGGGCTGTACAAGCATGTACAGGAAAGTCAAAGTTTGCTCTTACCAGCAAAAAGTAATGATCCTCTGGTTCTGCCCTGAGATATTTGAAAATTGCCTGCTCATAAAATCGTTCCATCAAGTCCCAGTCTTCGATTATACCATGGCGAATTGGCCACTGACAGAAAAGAAATGAAACACAATGTAAGTAGGGTTATCTTACAAAAGTAGTCACACGAGGAATCAATATTAAAATGCATCACAAAGCAGTCATATTTTCACATAAGATATGGGTATTAAAATGTAAGCCACTGCAAAATTTCATTTGCCTTTTCACAATGTAACATTCTGGCCACTGACATATATAAGTAGACAAATCACCTCAACAGATTGAGAGCATAACTCCTAACTAATCTAGTAATGTTAAAGAATTTTCTGAAAAACAATTACACTGAAATTTTTAAACTCAACTTGGGGTCACAAAATTATCTATTTTCTTCAAAGTAAGCCCTATATGCAACTGACAAGCCATTGAGCCTTTTATCAAAAACTTTAGAGATGTGTCTACCCTACTTTCCGATGTTTACCATGAAAAAAAAATGGCCCAGTTTCTTGAAATTAACTTTCTCTTCGCGCCATTTCTATCCTTATGATGTCTGAAATGTGTTAATTGTCAAATGAGAGGAAAACATTTGTCCGCAGTTGCCTCGCTGTTCCACTGGAACAATAATCCAATACCAGTTGGACACATCTCAATGACTTGGCTGGGGAACTAGTGGCAGTAAAAGAGTAGTAGCTCAGCAAACATGAAAAGTGCATATATACAATATACAGTATAACCCAGATAGGTCGAACACAGAAGACTCGAAATCACACATCCGCCAAACTGTGTTTTTTTCCTTCTTGATCTTTGTAAAAAAAATTACGCGAAGCTCGAACACAAACACAGAATGGTTAAAGTAATTACCCCGTCATAGAGGTCTAAAGTCCATGTCCTTTGAGATGCACTTGAGACAAGATAATAATAATAATTAATTAATTTTTTTAATGAAAAAAGGCAAGGTCTGCAAAATACCACCTTCCCCCTCCACAGAAGCAGCTAGCTGTGCTATTTTTAGCGCGTTGCTCCACACGCTTGCCTAGGTTTATGTGGAGCGGGCGAGAAGATGGGTTGTACATCAGTCACACATGATCTATTGTTCTACTCCTAAAGTAGCAATCGCAATCTTTATTGCTTCCCCTGATTCTCTAACACAGCCCATTCCATAACACTGTTCACATATCCCTCAAACTACAGATCCCTCGAATTATTGAGGCCAGTCCCAACAAATTCGAGCTATCCGTGTTATACGGTATATCTTTTTAGCAATAAACAACCGACAAGTAAGATGGGGAATTTTAAGCCACAACACTTTGATTAAAGCATGGAGTATTCTGAATACCTTGGTGGCATATGGTGGCTGATTAATGGCTTCATCTCCAATGTAGAAATCGAGATCTTCCACTCCTTTCCCAAGTCGTTTCTTTGACTGGTCTCCAACACTCGCTGACTCTTTGATGGCTATGGCTGAGGGAATAATGAACTGCGGTTCTGTGTTCCCTGCATAGCCCATCTTTGAATACCTGAAAATATGGAGAAGAAATTATTATTTCCAAGCCATATTATATCATATGCTGCTGACGTATAACACATAGCAATTCCAAATAAATATAAAAACCTTTATGTATTCACGATGAGGTATTATCTTACTTTCACCAATGTCTTTTAAGCTCAGGTGTTGTTGAGTATCATGTAGCACTTTTCTTGTTCCTTAATAATATTACATGTGATCTCAACTTTATTACTTTATACCCATTGCAAATTATTACTTTCTAAAATATTTAAAGATTCAATTTGAACTATATTACATAAAGGCCTTACTGTGTAGTAATATTTCACATGTTTATAAAAATCTGCGGGGGTCCAGGGGAACATCAAAACTTATTTTTGGGTCAAGACCAAAAGCTTTTACAGATAGTTTTGTCGTATTTTAGAGTTGATCTTTTATGTGAATTCAGCGTGCTTCTTTCATTTAAAAACAACCTTGATCAGAAAAAGACAGCCCAAAAGTTTCTATGGCAACAATGCTGTCCAAAGGCAAAGGTAAGAGCAAAGCAGGAGCCCCATAATATAACGCTTTTCGCTCGACAAAGCAATTGATTTGGAAAATTCTGATTATTTTTTTCCAGTGACACTATCTCAGATTAAGAGCAATTCCAATTGATGAGAATAGCCCTGACAATGCTGATGACAGTGATGATACATGAGACTTTGAGTGGGCGTGGCAGGGGTAGTAAATGAGTCATTCATTAGTTTTAACTTGCCATCAACGTATATAATATATATATATAATATATATATATATTATATATATATATATATATATATATATATATATATATATATATATATATATAATATATATATATGCCCTTGCTGAAAACACATGGCAGTTAAGTCAGTCTGAATATAATCTTTTAAGAGTTCCTAGAAAAGGGGGTAAAAAATTAGCGGGAAAGATCGTTTGCCCACCTTACTCCATCAGTTTGGAACTCTCTTCCCCAACCCTTGAGATACAACATCTGAGTCTAAATTTTTAAAAACCTTTAAAGACACATTTAATGATATCATTTTTATCATATTTTATGTCAGTAGATTCATGTTCAGTACAATGTTATGTAAATGACTATGTATCCATTTATGTATTTTGCGAATTGCATTGGGTATATTATTCTATTATGTATGTATGTGCTCATTTCGTAACGATGTGTAAGCGTACACGTAAGCAAGTAGATGTGTGTGTGTGTGTGTGTGTGTGTGTGTGTGTGCACGCGCGCATGTGTGTGTTTGGCATGCATGAGTGTGTAATGTGTGCGTGAGTTTGTGTGTGTGTGTGTGCGTGTGTGAGTGTGTGTGTGTGTGTGTGTGTGTGTGTGTGTGTGTGTGTGTGTGTGTGTGTCGCGTGCATGAATATTGTTCGTACATGCATTTAAAGCGCCTAGAGCTGTGTTTTACACAGGAGTGGGTGCTATAGAAATGATCTTCATTATAATTAATTATTATTATAATAGTAAGGTACCCTCTCACAACAGGCGCTCTTAGTAAATTAATTCAGGTCCAGCAGGGCAAATCAGTGACAAAAAACTTCAGGCACAATACAGAGCAATTAGGCTTTGTTTATACTTATTCAAAAACTATTTATATTTTACTACAGATATATATATAAATCTAAAATCTGTGAAAGCCTGATCAAATAAAAGGAGCAAGAAAAGTGCTGTACTATAGACATGTATAAATACTGCCTATAGATCTGAAACTCTCAGTGAGATGAGTAGGGCTTCCTACTCACCTAGGCAGGCCAAACTAAAATAATACCCGATGAAGATATTTCCTGAATATTTTGAAGGAAGAGGCTAGCCGTACTGAAGGATGGCTAGACTGGAAGGCTAGCCCTACTTTATGATGGCTAGACCGACAAAAAGCAAAAAATACTGATTTGTAAATAAAATTTTAGTTTGTAATACCTAAAGTAGTTTTGTATTTGAGACAAAACCAAAAGGTGCCTATTATTGGCATGCATGTATTTTAAACCTGAATAATTACTAATGAGACCTGTGTACTCAACATTTTTCTTTATTTGTTGATTTCTCACTAAAATTGCCTCAAATTCTGGGTGCATTCCACTGCTCAGTGAAGGGTGGCCATTATTGAGAGACAACACTATATTGACACATTTGGTGTATACCCATTGATATTTCTCACTTTTCTCAGTTGAAAAGGAGAATGTTGAAAGTTTATTTGGAATCAAATTTCATTCAAAATGAAAAAGAAACAAATGAACAATAGTCATCTGAAAAAGCAAGTGTCACTTATAATGATTTAAAAGTATGACTTGCCTGCCAGTCTAGCCGTCCTTAAGTACGGCTAGCCTAGCCATCTAGCCCAGGGCTCCCCTTTTCAGGCCAGCTAAGACGTTCCTTCATCCTTTGATTTTTTATATATCTTAAAACGTATTTAAACCCTAGTTTTAGAAGCTTAAAGGGTTGTTGGGTTTTTTGTTCAATGTCTGACAAACTGATCCTCAAAAGTCAATTATATCTCCTAATTTTATAGTAAGACTTTTGCATGTAAACATTTAACTCACACGCACAAATTCACACAGTGACCATGACTACGACTGAATGGTAATGATTTTTAATTAACTAAAATAATAACTATAAGGTTTCATTGTAACAACAAGAAATAAATTACTAATATACACTTCTCAAACATTCCCACTGAGACCAAATCCACGCTCATTAACTCTATCTTCATCCCAATCTTGACGTACCAGTTCCAAACATGGACCCTGACCAAACGTCTGGACCGCAAGATAACAACCTGCTAGATGAGATGTCTAAGGAGAGCCGCGAACAAAACCAGACGGGACATGGTCAGAAACAACAAGATCAGAGAAATGACTTGCCTCCACTACATTCGAAGGAAAACAATCAGGTGGTTTGGAACTCAGATATATGGCACCTCACCAGCTTACCAGTAAAGCTTACTACTACAGAAAAGTATCAGGGTACACAAGGCAAGAGGAAGACCAAAAAAAGACCTGGATCCAGGGTGTGAAGGATACCCTGAGAAAATATCCAACCCAGCCAGGCCATCAAACTCGCAAGAGACAGGGAGCTTTTTCTCCCCTCGACGCCCTAGAGGTGCAAGAGGATGGATAAAGTAAAGTAAGCAAAGCAAGTCCACTTGGAGGGGGGGTGAAGAGTGGTCATGGTTGGGCCAATCAAAATTAAATGAAGTTGACAATGTAGGGGTCAATTCCGATTGTACTACAACTACAATACACAATACACAAAGAAAATACTTCATTATTCTTCAGAGCCATCCCAGAGTTCATATTCCAGTTTTTCCAGACTTTCAATTATTATCCCTCTTGATTATCTCATCAGCCTCCTGGATCACTTCCTTTTCATCAAATTTTAATGAAAATGCCTCTCAAGCTTGTTTTCATGCTAAATGATCAGTCTGTTGTTAACACAGTGTTTGTGGTTAGAGTTGGGTCGGGCTCGCAAATTCCGCGTCTGCGAGTAGCGAACTACTCCCTGGCACTACCCGCAAACGAACGGACGGGTAACGAGCCGTCCGCTTGCGAAGAGTAGTTCGCTACTCGTTACTACTCATTACTCAACTTGCAACACATCGGACAGAGACAACAGTACATTTAGCGAGCGGACGGGTGGATGGACGGGCCGAGAGACCCCATGCATTCGAGCGGGCGGACGGACGGGGAGCTACTCCTTCCATTGCATACTACTCCCCCCCCCCCCCCCCGAAAAAAATTACCCTCCTACCCCACATTGCAGAGGTAAGTGTTCATGGCGGAAATTTCTCTACTTCCCCCCCCCCTCCCAAATGAAAGGCCTTTGGGAATTATTTAAACTTCGCCTTCGCGATAATTACAAGTACAGAGTGAGACCCCACACTGTAAGGTGAAAGGTTACACACATAGTACTACGTCCCCAGCCTCTCTCATTTCCTGTGGCACCGCTAGTGGCTTGACACACTAGGCCTAAATAACAACCAATAGACAAAGGGCTCAACCTCGCGTCAAGTATCTCATCTGCTAGAGTTCGTCCGTTCGCCCGCCCGCTCTAGGAAATAAAATTGTGACGCGGACCCAAAAAACAAACTGACTTGAGGCTTGAGGTCCGCAGTCCGCTCGTTGAGAGAGTAAAATTGAGGAGCGGACCGAAAAAACGAACTGTCTTTAGGTTCGCAGTCCGCTCGCATGGCCGCCCATTACCCGCTCGCTCTGACTGAGTCCGCGAGTAACGGACCCGTCCATCCGCTTGCCCCATCCCTAGTGGTCAGTGAACTACGGAGTGCTGCATGAACACGATTCTGAGCTGAAAACCCACGGTCACAGGGCACGGAAGTAAGGGGGGTGGTGAGTGAGGGTCTAGCAAGTTTTGTAAAAGCAGGGAAAGAATACTTGACTATTGGGATGCGAAGAGTTAAGACAAAGTAAAGCAGGAGAGAGAGGAGGACTATGCCCTCTACCAGGAGTTGAAGGCTAAGAAAGAGAGGTAAAAAAACTTGGGGGACAATTTCGCTCATTGGGTGAGAAGGGACGGCAAAATTCGGAACATTGGGAAATACCCAACGGAACGTCAGAAAGAGAGGGAGACAATACAAGAAAAAAGCCGCAGACAGCAAAGAATGTAAATAGTTTTGGCCATTGTTCGCCTTATTTTTCATATTTTAATTATTTATAGTTTGACCATCTCTTTCTGTACACAGAACAAAAGTTTCACTTCATTTTCTTCTTTTTCATCTACATTTCATTCCAGTTGGAAAGCACATACATACTTTAAAGAATTATACTTGCTTGTATACAAACGAAGATCAATTGTTGAACCAAAGAAATGAGTTGAAATCTATGGTGGAGATTTATCAGCCTGATATAATTGCTGTAGCGGAAGTAAAGCCCAAAAATGCAAGGTTCAAAATTCAAGAGAGTGAGTTATCTTTGCATGGCTATGACTAAGAATTATTTCCCAACCTGGAAGAAGAAGGTCGAGGACTAGTGTTGTATGTGAGAAAAGCACTGAAACCAGGGTTGTGTGATGAAAAGTTACGTTAGGTAAAATGAGTTTTATTTAAGGATGGTGTTTCATTACTCATTGGACTGATTTAAAGAAGTCAACACTGCCCTACAGTGGAATAAGATGACAGTCGTTGAAATAAGAATACTAATAATAGGAGAACTATTGTTAATAGGCCTAGTCTAGATTTCTCGTGTTTGTGAGTTTGGAATCTCCCAGTAGCCTGCCACTAGATCTACTCAGACTCAACAGCAGACCACTCTCCGCCTCCAGTCCTGAGGCAAGGATCAGGTCCAGCTTTCTGAAGTAGTTACCACGATATGAGGGAAATATTCTGTTCTTTAGAACACCACGGGGCATATAGTAATTTAGATTCCGATATAGAATCTAGAGAATCTAGATTTGACTTGTATAATTTACTAGATCTAATCTATAGATTCTGATTTCAAGGAAGAATTGCTACGGAAACGGCCGGCACACGCCCACCAATTTGTTGTTGAACCCAAAATCATGAGGAGCCGTTTTCTGGCAAAAAGTTGCATATGATATCAACCATCACACAAAGCGCAATTTTTGACAGATATTAACTTACCCAGTGCCATTATCAATGACAACGGCAGGCAATCGGTTTGCCATAGCACCAAATCAAAGGCTAAATCACCAAAGTTCTATCTAACTAGGAAGTAATCCCTGTCTTGCCGGATGACGGATGGTGAAAACGGAAGTACAATATTTTACCACAGTCACAATTGGACGGAACAAATACATTTAGTTACTGTTTTTAAAAGATATCGAAAGAAATAAAAGTATGGGAGAATAGTATTACAGTGTATTATTATTATTATTATTTTTATTTTTTTTTACATCAAATACAACTCTTCTAATGATAAACAAATGATGCAAAGCTAAATTTTAGATGTCAAGCTGGTTTATTTAACTTCTCCTATTGAACAGAATTTGCTCAGATATACGGGCGACAACTCTTGTATATTACATTATTTTATTGAGTAATCATGAAGTTCAGGCCCAATACTTCGCACACCTCCATCTACTTTTGATCATCCCTTCGTGTTTCTTAGACTGGAATTAAATAAAAACAGAACATATCTAGATCTAAATAAAAAAGAATAAAAAATATCTGCAAAATAATAAAATTAGTTAGAAAAGATAAGGGGGAAATTAAATATAAATAGCTAGCATTAGATAAAGCAACCACACTACAAAAGACAAATAAATACTAAAAAGCAAAGAAAGCAGAATCTTACAATCTACACTGCCCTTTTTTTTTTTTTTTGCTCACTTGGACTCATATGAGGATATAAAAGAATGTTAAAGGCGTCTAGTAAAAAGTGCATATCCTGCCATGGTTCTTACGATAAAAATGGTGCAGTGCATGAACTAGTATTTTTAGTAGCCTATATATATTATATATATTATATAATATATATATATATATATAATTATGTGTGTTCGTGTATGTATGTGTATGTGTGTGTGTGTGTGTGTGTGTGTGTGTGTGTGTGTGTGTGTGTGTGTGTGTGTGTGTGTGTGTGTGTGTGTGTGTACCCTTTCTTTTATTGTTCTTCTATTTATCAGAAGGGGGGGGGGGAGTAACATATGTACGTGTAATTAGTATAATCATTCATACCTATTCTGACTGATCCCCCCTCCACCCCCCCCCCCCAAAAGAAATACCCTTCTCCCCACACATGTGCATGTGTGTTTCAGAAACGGGTAAACATACCTATAACATGGGTGGAGATTGACACAGAATACTCATACCCTTTCAACAATTAACCAAAATAAGTATAATATTACTTGCTGAGTGCTTGCAATTGCGTTCACGAGCATGTGCAAGCATAATGGGCGCTCAGGCACACACAAACACACACACACACACACACACACACACACACACACACACACACACACACACACACACACACACACACAATCACATACATACATGCACACACATACAACACACCGATACAAACACACACTGACACACATACACACACACGAACACACACACACACAAACAAACACATTTATGCCCGCACGCACGCATTCTACCCCCCCCCCCCCCCCTCTCTCTCTCTGTCTCTCTGTCTCTCTGTCTCTCTGTCTCTGTCTCTCTCTCTCTCTCTCTGTCTCTCTCTCTCTCTCTCTCTCTCTCTCTCTCTCTCCCTCTCTCTCTCTCTCTCTCTCTTTCTCTCAACTACTTGACAAAGCATTCCAGATCTTGCGGCCTTGTTATTCAAATGCCCTTTCACCCATTGTTTCAGAGTTCAGAGACGGCAAAAGAAATTGCAATGTCATCTGATGACCTTACTGCCAGTTGGAATGATCAATCTCAACCGAATTGGTAATTATTATATGGCGCATTATCATTCAAGTAAGCCTTTGTGGCATAGATTCGAGTGGCCTGCTATTGTTCATAATTCTTTTCAGAACATAAACCAGTGCAGTGTCCGTAAAAGAGGTGTGGAAGAGTCTGCTCATATTTTCTGTTAAACTAAACGTGTATCATTGTTTTGGATAGTTTGAAGTCTTTTCACTTTGTCCAGAGATCTTATCCTGAGCAAGTTAGAATAATCAAGTCTTGATAAAACTAATTTAAGCTAATAATTCAGTATACTCAATAGGCCCTAAACATAGATTAGATGACGCATTTGATTTATTTTTCTTATTTCTAAAGACATATATAGGCCTACATACGCAGCTGATCACATGGTTTACCTCGGCCGACAGTGACAAACTGGAATGAAAATAGATGAGATTCTTAACTTTTTTTGGAAATGCAATTTCCGCATCCACCAATCGTCATGTGATCGTTGTAAACCTCATTAACAAACTTTGCACCAATGCCAGAATGACATAATATATGTTTTGTCATCGTTGAACTTCAATTTGTTTTTGTTCATCCGGTTTTTCACCGAGTTGGTAAACATTGTGTGCGCTCCGCAGAGTTGATATACTTATATAAACGGGATATGAGCGCTATTCATATAAAATCAATTCTATTATTGCTATATATTATTGATTCTTATTATTATTATTATTATTATTATTATTATTATTATTATTATTATTATTATTATTATTATTATTATTATCATTATTATAAATTATGATAATGTATGTAGGCCTACGCACGCTCTCTCTCTCTCTCTCTCTCTCTCTCTCTCTCTCTCTCTCTCTCTCTCTCTCTCTCTCTCTCTCTCTCTCTCTCTCTCTCTCCCCCTCTCTCTTCTCTCTCTCTCTCTCTCTCTCGATCTCTCTCTCTCTTTGTCTTTCTCTCTGATCTCTCTCCCCCTGTCTCTCTGTCTCTCTCTCTCTCTCTCTCTCTCTCACACACACACACACACACACACACACACACACACACACAGACACACGCACACACACACATATACACATACACACACACGCACGCACGCACACAGCCGCACACACACACACACACACACACACACACACACACACACACACACACACACACACACACATACACACTCACTCACCGAGACAGACAGACAGACAGACACGTAGTACAATTATTATTATTATTGCTTGTGTTGGTGGTTGGTCTATTGAGAGTTCTCATGACTCGTGTCATTTGTGTTCTTTTTCCCCTCACTTTTTTTTTTTTTTGGGGGGGGGGGGGGGGGGGTATAGGCACAGGCCTATGAGCGTGTTTTTATACTCGACACGATAGATTTTAAGTCGTTACAAAGGCAGACATCATTCCTACTATGATCGTGGTTTCGTGGTCTAGATCTACATTAAATTTCGCAAACGTAATCCTGAATCGACACACCACAAATCATTATGAGTGCAGCACACACACACAGCAGATAGGCTTACAGAAATCGATAGAAGAGATAACAGGCCATAACTATCATACTCCACACGGGTTGTGGCTTGATTTTATGAGGTGCGCGAGCATTTTATCATTAATGAAAATACATTATTAGTTGTCATTGGCTTGGCCTACTTGAAATGACAATTTTATTATAAACGCATTTTAGTCATGTCCATGTTTTCTAGAGCAGAAGATGTAGATCCCGTTCGAAAACTTCCGGTTTCGATTGTGGCATCTCCTAGGCTTGGTGCTTTTGTTTTAGTTCGAAGTAATCGGCGAATTATTCTGTTGTCTACTCTTCATTATGACAACGTATAGAGGGTACCAGCACTAGGAACGAAACGAGGGTGAGCGCTCTTTTTATTCTTTTTTTCAATGGAACCTGGTATTTATTGCAGACGCAAGAGAACTGACTTTACGCTGTTCACGGTCACTTGTCCTCTTGGACTTGAAATGCTAGACAGTGAAAGTGAAGTGTATGAACTTAGAAGTCCTACCCAGCCTGTCTCTGTTCAGCTCGACCGGCACTGCTACAGTGAGAGTCACATTCAACGAGGTTGCGGGGACCGGCTTGTTGTCCTCGTTGGTAGGCTTGGACAGAATTGCTATGAATTGGAATTGCTCAAGAAAGTCCTAACACCTTGAGTTTGTTGTTGAGATCCGCAAGTGCCAAGTCACACACAAGTCCCAAGCCCAATTCCATTCTCACCCCGGGTGAGAATTTAATTTTACCAACCCATGTCTCGCTATTCTCACCCCAGATGAGAATAACTCATGACTCACTATTCTCACCCCCTCCCCCCATCCCCTGGTGAGAATAGCTCCCACTCCGGCCGGTGTAGGCGTGAGGTGAGGACTCCCCCCTGACCTCTCGCAGGCCGATAAAATCGCCTAGATTCTAGAGATCTAGATCTAGGCCCTTGGTGGCTTACCGCATGTGGTTGGGAACAAAGAACAATAATGTAAAAACATTTTTCGCCTCTCCAGTAAAAAAAAAAGGCTCACTACTGACACTACTGAGCGGGATGTGGGACCGACCGCTGCAGGACCATTCGTTGTTTACACACTTAACGATGGCAGGCCTCTCACTCTCTGCCTGCACACAATAAATAAAGTTCTTGGAACAGAGACTGAGAGAGCGTGTACAAAAGTAACGAGAAGCAAGCACGAGACAATTTAAAATGCTATTGCACGACAGTAGAAGAGATTTTAAAGTTATTCAGACTAATACAAATGGGCGAGGGCGTTAAATCGTGTTAACTAGTTTATATAATAAAATTAGGCCGTAGCAATACAAGCTCTTTTCTTCACTTTCATTTTTTTTAAAATTCTATATTTTTCTTTTTTTCTTGCCTCTTCTTTCCCTTTCTTCATGAACTTTTTTTGAAATTCTTCGGGCCAGACACGATCCAAAAGAGCCAAATTTATGTGAATTGGCTCCAAACCGACAACCCTGACTGACTATTCGGGCACGAACAGTGACGAACATGATGCTGAAGAGCATCAGCATTTAACCCCCCGGGTCATGCCCGCTTACCTATAGCTCAGCCCTGATTCCTTGATTCCTTTAGGGTAATTTCCGGTAAAATGAGGGGGTGAGAATAGCGAGACATGGGTTATTCTCACCCGAATTCCTTTCATCGTTATCCTTATTTTGTTGTTTTTCTCCAACCAACCACCTATGTCATAGGCTAGGCTATGTTGAAACGTCATGGAACATCTTTGTGATACTTGTTTGGTTGATAGTTTATTCAGTTGTATTTATTGATTGATTAAAATTTTCCTTTGTTTGTTCATTTTTTGTTGTGTTCTCTGTTGTATTAATTTTAATAAACTCAGGAATTGCATCAGCCTTGGATGGCAATGATGAATGATGGCATTGAAGCCTTATCTGGGCGAAGGCCTGCCTACCTCTTATCAAGGAGGTGGACTCAACCAATCCGCCAAGGGCGAGCAAATCCTAGCTAGTAATAGGGGTGGTACTGCCTATCCCTTTAAATCGAGGAAATAGACCCAACCAATCCGCCAAGGACGAGCAAGTTCTAGCAAGTAGTAGGGGTGGTAGATGTATTTGAATTAAAACAACCAACTGAAAACACTAAATTTACTAGAAGCACACCAGTTTTGAGCATTTCTTTAGGCCTTGGTTCACTGAGTCTAGGTCTAGATCTATACTCAAAAGTTTGTACTCTGCGTTTAAATAATTTTGTCTTTTGATTGAGGGATATTTTGCTAGGTCAAGACTTGGGACTTGCCCAGATCTGAATACTTGGTCTCAACACTACTTGGTGGGCACGAGAATTGCAAGTACCTATAACTTCCAATGCCAAGTCCTGCACAGGCCTACTCGTTAGATCCGACCTCTCGTTGAACGTGACTAAGGCTACAGAGAAAAGTAAAAGGGGAGACAAGTTATTATATTACACGTTATAGGCCTGCCAATACTAGAAGTAATTAAGAAGCTTTTACCCCTGATGACGAAAATCTCGAACAGCATCACAGTGTGCGCGTTATTGAGCTGTGTTCTGACCGTCATTTCTGTATAAATTTTTTTATTTTTCGGAAAACTTCTCTTGTGGAAACATACCCTCTCACATCTAGGCCTAGATCAATGCGTTCCCACCCACCCCCTCCCATTCCTACCGGCTAGGCCTAATCACAGCACAGGCTCAGTTTCACACAGCCCGCGTTGTGTTCCCACCAAGGAGGTACAGTAAGGTCCTTGGTTCCCACCCATCCCCTCCCATCCCTACCGTAAGCCAACCCTCGCCCATCCTCTTGGTTTTGGGGCCCATATTTAGTATTAGGAGGCACACTTGATAGCAATACAATGCTTTAGGAATGGAGGAAGGGCTTTGTGCTTCGCGCAAGATGGAGAGAAAGTAGAACATTTATTTTTTTTGGGGCTACTAATTGCTTTAATTTGGTTACCGGGACCTCGTTGAAAGCAACTTCAGTCTGTTTGCAACCTCATTAGAGCTAACGTACATTTACAAAGAGATATAGAGGGAAAAATCGGGGATTAAGGATTGCCTCGTTGGAGTCGAATTCTCATTGAATATGACCTCGTTGAATGTGACACCCACTGTACTCAGTTAACTAGCCTGTTCCCCGGAACGATTGATCTTCTGTCACGTAATGATGGTCTAACTGCTGTCTGTTTCTAAGTAAACAACTATTCCTGTACATTTTCCTGTTTTAAATGCACAATGCTAAAGAGCTTTTAGAAGGACTAAGATCCAGAAGAAACTTATTTTAATAGAGGCCATCTTAATCTCATCCCAGTACTCTGCTTTAGGCCCAACTGTAAATTGCTGTTACTGACACGTCTAGCGTTACAGTTACAGACTAACATTTTCCTTTGACCATCAGTATGAGCTGTCCTTATAGCTCACCGTCAAAAGGATTCGCTGATGATGGTAGACTGGTAGATCAAGATCTAGATATTTCTTGATGACCACAAGATGGTCCACTCACTGCTTCTAATCATACCTTGGTCGCTGCTTGCTGTACGTGCATTTAATTTTTTTTATTGGTTGTTATCATTTATGATAACACAATTGAGACATATTCTCATCCCATTGGTTACTGTGTATGAAACATTGCTGTAGTTTTGGGTGTTGAATCGACGGTAAAACAGTAAATTCTTTGTGTGGGAGTAGAGAAAACATGATGTAAAAGCGAGTGTGTATAATTTTCCTTACTTAGATAAAAGACTCTCACCCCAGAGTTGACAGGCCTGAGAGGGCAAGAACTTTATTATGACTGTCTTTGTTTTTTGCAGATAGATGCGAATGTTTGATTAAAAAATGGGTACAATTGCTTTGAAAGTTCAGGTGAATACATATATATGTGATGATCATTGCATCATCAAGTAGTCAAGTTTTTTAAATTTTAGCTTTTGGGTTCAAATCATTTACAAAATATATTTTAAATTTTGCACTCTCTCAATAGTGGAAAGTGTATGTTCTCTGTCGCAACACTCATACATACAATACAAAATAACGATTAATTCTCTTTTTCATTTCCAGTGTTACTTTATGGCAAGATGCTCTCTGGATGCCAAGCGTGACTTCTCATCATTGAAATAATTTGCTCTGAGTGTGTGAGAGAGATTAAATTTGGTGAATCTTTTCAGAAGAGGTCCATTCTTAAACTCAAGAAATATCAAGGTGAAGTCTAATTAGTTATACATCCTGTTGTTTTAAGAATAGTGAGAGCAGAAAAATAGAAAAGGTCTTAAATAAGGATGCAGTAATGAATTAAATTTAAATATAACAGCAGTCTGTTTTTATACCCCTTCTTTGAAACTGTTGCTTTATTCAATTAAATGTTGAGTTGGACACACAGTTAATGGGATGCTTGTAATGTTTTTTAAAAGTTTGTTATATAAGCTTTCACGCCAGGGTTAAGAAAACCAAGATTAAATATTTCGATGAATTTGTGGGTTGTGATAAATTAATTCTTGTCGCAATTTGTACATCTTTAAAAACAAAATTTTCATATGCAGGCTGCAAGGAAAGAGTTCAAAAGTTTCAAAAGAGTTCAAAGTGATCATCACATCTTCTTCTAGATCTAGTAGAGGTTAACTTAAGATATTAAGAATCCAGTCTGTGACTTTGAAATTCTGTTTTTACTGACCACAATTTTTTATCACCCTTGGTTGAAATAATATGGTGAGTTTATCTTTTTTTGATCCCCCAAACTTAATTGAAGTACATGATATATATAATATTCATAGTGAATAATAATGGTTTTTAAAATGTTGTTTTTTTAAAAATAGATGATCACCTTGAAAAATAAACAAGCAAAACGGAACCAGGAACATACAGATACGACCTCTAAAAGGCTGTCAATCCGGGACATGCTCCTAGTTAAAGGTACTCAAGAGTAAAGTGTGTATATGTATGTTTGTTTATTCTATCTCATCTCCCCTTTTTATTTTTGCTGAAAATTTGTACCGTTTATATTTTGAGGGTGAATTTAAAAGTAATGGAAGTTGTGAATTATCTCAAAATCTTTTATGCCATGGACATGAAACTTTCAGTCCCTCAAAACAGTCTCCTAGACTTCATATATGCAGGATTCCAGCCTCCACAGCCACTTCTGGAAGACACAGTAGTGTAGTTGTTAGCTCCTGGTGTGCTTCACGGCTCTGAATTGATAGCTCTTCTAGGTCCTGAATTTTAAAAACTTTTGTCAGCAAGCTTGACTTTTAGGATAGGAAATAATCAGGAGTCACAAGGTCATGGAGCAAAGTTGTGTCTGTAGGCTTGATGAGGCAAAACTTGGATCTCTTGCTCTTGTATGCACAGAGTTCGTGGAACTTGTTTTATTGGTTGCTAACTTGTCATGGAGGAGCATTGTGCGAGCGGTTCCAATCTTGGGTCTCTGCTCACGAGCGCCATTTTGTAGCTGGAGCAGTACCTTTTGCAAATACAGTCAAACCTGTGTAAAATGGCCACCTATTATTAAGGAGAAAAGTGGCTGTATAACACAGGTGGCCGTCTTAGGCAGGACTGATCAAAATGAAGGAAGTAAATCATTCTCTTCCGAGGTCTAAACTGGAGCTGATCTCAGGCTTTAGACTGCCGTAAGGCTGATTCAGAAGGGTTTTTGTTTTGATTTTTTTTCTAAAAAGGGGGAAGGTAGTGAAAGAACATTTTTTTTTTTTTTTTTGGTTAGCTGATTTTGTGCAAGGGTAAAATAAACTAAGTATGTTATAAGTAAGACATGTAGACTGAGTGCCATGGTAAAACAAACACGCGTGTAGCTACTACTTGGCTCGGAGAATGAGCGACGCTTCTGTCGCAAGTTCACATCAACGTCCATTGTTACTTTGTTACAGATTAGATAAACAAAACAGTGGCCAGCCACGTCACATACGATTTGTGCATGAGTTGCAGGCGGGACTTATAGGTGATGACGGATCACGCTTCCTTCACCAGCAGTTGAAAATGTATTGTTAGGCCTACCCATTAGTCAACTTGGGTAAACATTCTTTGGAGGGACTAACAATTATGACAGGTGAATGAGGATCCACAGCTTGAGGGGTCGATTAAAAATTTATGACAAATCTTCGGGCAATGAGGGACCACGCCTGGCCGTCTGAGGCAGATAAATTTGCCTGTAGGTTGATAAAATAAGGTGGCCGCATTGAACAGGTGACCGTTTTACACAGTTAAATTATATAGAAAAAACTCAAGGGGGGAAATGGAAAGTGGCCATTTGTAGTGGTGGCCGTATTATACAGGTGGCCGTCATGGCAGGTTCGACTGTAGTAAGAAGTCATAGAAATATTATGTGGCATGATACCAACAGGACCATAAGGGGACCACTGTAATTGGAAAAGACTAAAAATTCTCTTTCTGCTTTGATATGGTGGAAACCAAACAACAGACCTCCTTTCTTGTCGATCCACATGCGATTCTGCCGTTTTGAAGAAATTTTCAAAAAGGGAATCCATGTTTTGTCTCTGGTGATAATCTTTCTCTCTATCTTGCTCCTAAATTGGTAAATGGGGTGTCTAATGGGCACACACTTTTTTTCATTTGGAGTTCACCTCAATAATATTTTGCATTGATCCAAAGAAAAGTTCAGACATGCCACTAAGATCTCATACAGAAGTGTGAGGATCTAGCACAACGTGGTGCTTTGTGATAACATCAGTAGTTTTCTCATTCACAGAGGAGTATTTGGGCAGCCAGAAAATGGATGATCAAAAGTGTCTTTCCATTCACTAAATTTCTCTTACCAAACAACAAACTATTATGTGAACAAAGCAGATTTTCTACAAAGAGAACATTTTCATAAATCAGTTTTAGTAATCTGCAAAGTTTACTGTGCTTGAAAATGTAGAAACAGAAACAGATGTTTTCCTTTGAAAAGTCCATCTTTTTCTTCCAGAGTGGAAATCATCCTTAGATCGTCACATGAAATAATCAAAAGTGTTATCACATGAAACTCCATTGGTTGGTGCGAGATTGGACATACTATTCATTAATTAAGTGCATTGCTCTTATCACTGAAGTTTTCTGTATAATTCAGTTTTTAAGAGTGCAGGTGTTTTTTACACTCCCATTTTCACAATTTAGATCGTTTAGGAGATGGGCTTCCAACTTTGCCTATCAGGGCTAACCCTGGCTGAGAGGGATGTAAAATCCCTGGGAAACGCCTGAGACACTCAATAAAAACGTCTCCCCATTCAGGAATCAAACTCAGGTCTCCTGCAATAGCAGGAAAGTGCCTAGTGAGCTAAACATCCAAACTAAGGGTGGAAAGAAATAGCTCAAAGTTTTGTCGTTTTTTTCTTTTTTTCAAGTTTGTGATTGAGAAATATTTTGAGTACTAGAAGGCATTTTTCACATTTTGTGAAAATTCTAACAAATCGTTCTTACTCCTTGTTTCATGATCCTTCAGAGGTTCAAGAAATGGAGGAAAACTTGCCATCCACCTGTGAGGTGAACTTTTCTGACGCCAGCTGCCTGCATGAGTTTTCTTTGACTGTGACACCTGATACTGGTTACTGGCAAGGGGGGAAATTCAGGTTCAATATATCAGTGCCAGATGAGTACAATATTGTGGTGAGTTGAGCTTGTCAGCTCTTGTAGATGGTGTCTTCCCAGTTAACAGTCTTCGATGATTTGTCCAGCATGAATTGTGCATGAATAGTTACTGGAGGTTGGTTTGGTTGGTTGGGGATGTAATGAATGTATTCTGGTTAATGATGTATGAGTAGGTTTATGATAAATATATATATGTTTTTAGTATAGAGTTTAGATTGCGGTTACTGTCTTGTTGGTCTGGTTTTGTACAGCTAAAGGTATTATTGCTATGGTTATCATACAAATTTGAGCTACTAAAGAAAAGTCTTTGTAACATGTTATTATTGTTTCTTTTTCTATTGTATGAAGTACAAATTTTTGAAGAATATTGGAAGAAGTTTTCTTGTGGGTTTTTGAGCTTTCTAGTTTCTCTGACTAGTTTTTTTCTTGACCTTTCTATAATGATAGCTTTATAGAACTCATTGCCATTTTTCAACCGTTTCTTTGATGTTGAACTTGTACTTATTTCCCGGCAGCCACCAAAAGTTGCCTGCACAACCAAACTGTATCACCCCAACATCACGGAGGTTGGAGAAGTCTGCCTGAGTCTACTGCGGCAAAGCTCCTATGACAGTATGGGTAAGGCAAATGATCAAGTTGTCTCTCTTTTTCTGTTAATCAGCCTGTTCTTAAAGTCTTGCCCTCAGACACACACTCTTCACCCATGAGTGTTAAACCCATTCCTATATAGATCCAACAAAGTCGGTCACTGTGTGAACTCTTATGTGTGCCTAGATCTACCATTGTAGTCAGATAGCTCTGCGCTTGCTATTAACCTCGGTCGGGATTTTCCTATCACTATTGTAAATGAAATCTTGTTTAACACTTTGCGGTCACTTGGCGCAATAATGAGGTGGTGGTGAAATTTATCCATTCCAATCACCTGGCGCAGAACTGCGCCAGGCCTAAGAAGTTGGTTGCGGTCGCTCTCCTGGCTGGGTGACCAGATGGGGTATTTTGTACTATATTTTTAGATTTGCGATTGGGCTATTACAAAGTTAAGATCATTTGAATCTCATGCTATTTTTACCGATTTGCTGAACTTTGAACCTGCAAAATGAATATGTTTTTATATAGACATAAAAGTTTAGTGCCCAAAACATTTTTTTGCCAAAGTAAGCGGACAAATACTCTTTCTTTGATTTTGTTATACTGGTGAGCGCCTGATTTCATTATAATCCTACAAATTTTATAGTTCTCTTTTGAATGGTGATCTTCTATATGTTTATCAAAAAATTAAGGGGAGTATTAAATGAACCTGGGACCAATGCCTGGTCAAAAGGAGAAATCAGGCATTGATGAGAATTTAAATCTCTGAATTTAGTTGTTACCTCAGAGGGAGAAGACAAAGAAAAATATGAAGATATAACTAGAACTGATCAGAGGAACATCGCTGGCGAACCAAAGTTATTTGAATTATAACTTGAATCTATGTTTTGCAGTTTGTTTGATATCTGTAACTTGAGAGGATTTTTAAAAATGTTTAAATTTGTCCAGGTTATGCCCCTTCACTGAAAGGGGAGAGGATAATTTTCAGAACAGGGCCTTAGGTAGGACTGAGTTTAAAATATTCAGATGCATTTAGTGACCTAGATTACTGACAACTGCAAAGAAAAAAAGCCTTTAAAATATAAAAAAAGAACTTAGAAAGAAATGACTTATAATAAATAGGGCAGTTAATGATCTTTGAAGTGCAATTTTAAAGGTCTAAAGTCTCAATGCTTTGTTTCCTTGTTTTGTTTGTTTTTGTAAGTGTTTTACGGCGCTCGCAACTGCATAAGGTCATATGAGCGCGCGGGACACACTAAACTTTTTCAGTTGGTAGGAAATTTTGAATTTTGCCCGGGTGGCGGCCGAAGCCTACTCTTATCGATTTTAGACCACCAAGGGATCTTTAACGTGCACAACTTGCACACGGGACCTCCGAAATTTTTCACCCTTGTCCGAGAAGGCTAGGTGTAGATCTTTCCTACCAGAAGATCAGGGGTGTGGCTGAAAGACAGCAGTAAGAAGAAGCCAATGAGTAGCAGTAGAAAGGCTGCAGAAAGAATCAGGAGCCCAGAGGAGGGGGCAAAGGAAGTGAAGGGGTGGGGGGGGGCAGAAAGAGGAGACGAAAGCAGACGACAGAACATTTCTAGAGAGTAGGAAAGGAGGTGAAAGGAGACAAATTTAGATAAGATAATTTTTTGGTCGCTACCCGGATTCGAACCCGGGACCTTTGAATGAGAGGTGAACACCTTAACCTCTAGGCCACGAGAGCCTCCATTTGTTTCCTTACCCTAGTCTTTTTCTCTACATGACTGTGAAGTATAAGTAGTGGGTGAGATTTTCAATTTTAGAAAAGGTCTCGATGAAGATGAAGTATAAAAAATTAATACTACCTCTGAAACTTGTTTTGTTGAGGAAAAGAAGGTTGAATAGATAGACACAGGACTATTACGATATTTGTAAATTGTTGATGATGTATTGATAAAAAGTTCTTTGAGTTTTTACTTTTGTTTGTTTTTCTCTTTTAGTAATGATGAAAAGTGAATACAGCACTGTTACTGATATGGAATATTGGATGTTTCGGCCTGACAGCTATTCACATCTATGTCCTCCGGGTTTTTTTTGGTCAGATGATATAGATATATTTTTTTAATCAATTATTTCCAGGATGGGCTCCAACTAGAAAACTCAAAGATGTTGTCTGGGGTTTGAACTCATTATTCACTGTGAGTATATTGTGTGTCTGTTTATTTCTATGTGCTTTTTAATTTTGTATATTTTTAATCAGCCTTTTATTCTTGTTTGTAGAGTCTTACATTCTGTAGATTGATGGGCATAAATTTAGTTCTTCATACCATCAGAATTTCTGTATATTTTCTTGGGTTTTCACTAGTCATCCACATATTTGGTTGCTATGTAAAATTCATGCAAATATTTCTGCAAAAGAAAATGGATGAAAAGTCTGCCTTTTTGTTTGGTATTGCGGCTTCCAGTGGTTGAATGTACTTTTCTCTGAAGTGCCTGGGGTGGTATAAAAAGGAAACTACAGTCCCTCTTATTTAGATCATTGTGCTCTGCAATGGCCATATGTCAAAAGACATCACTTTCCTCTATCGATGCATTGTTCCATAGGAAACAGACCTTTAATAGTCTAAGTCTTTAAGACGTCACCTGTGGTTAACGGTTGCTATAGTGTCTCTGCTCTGCCTGTATCTTTTTATTCTTGTTGTTTTCCTACTGTCTGTCCCTGATGCAATGTTGTCAGTATTGTGGAGATATGCTGTAGACTACCTCTCTGCTCTTACTTATTTATGAAAAATGATATAATGTTCACAAGAATGTTTATCTCTTTCGTTTTAGTGTATGATTTGCCATGCATAAGAGCAAAATTTTTTTCAGTTAAAATTAAAGAGTTGAAAACATTTGAATTTAAGTAGATTTTAAATCTTATTTTTCTCAGGATTTATTGAATTTTGACGACCCTTTGAATGTGGAAGCTGCTGACCACTATGCCAGAGACAAAGTAAGTAGATATGTTGGATATGTCATACTCTACGTTTTAATCTTGTCTAAGAGCTTGTATTTGTCATGTAACATAATTTGTTTCATTATGATTTATATGCCAAAGAACTTGCTCACATAGATCTATTAAGAATTGGCCATGAACCCTGTTTTGGTTGAGAAAGAGGTTCAATTTTTCTTGTCACTTTTCCATACTATTTTTTTATGCAAAAGGTCTTTTCTAACATTAATAATAATGATAGTAAATTGCATTTATATTGCCCATTTTCATCTCATTGAGAGGCTCAATGTGCATCCCAATAAAGATCACAGGCATGTCAAACACATGCCCAATTGAAAAAGAGTGAACACCTCTATTTAAACATTTTCTAGTCACAAAACGACCGATGTTACGAGTGTTCTATAAAATATGTTTGGAAGAGAGTTTTTGTAGAGGAAGGGTATGTAAGACTCTGTGAAAGAAGAATAGAAGCACTCCCATTCTCCCTTCAATAATTTTTCATGAAGTACTTCCCACATACAGGCTCAAAAGTCACCTTGGTAGGTGCGTTTTAGGTAGCAGCATAATGCTGTAATTGTTATGCTAGGGTGGGGTTGCTGGGTTTTTTTTGGGGGGGGGAGTTGGTCGGGGCTCTGCTGTGGTGGTCTTCTGCTTCTACTTTTCTGGTGCTACTAGAATCCATATTTGTGTAGGTCTTTGCCACTCACTGTCATGTGCTTGGGTGTGGTTTTTTCCTTTTTCTTTTTAACTGTTACAGTTCTCCTGCAGTCTGTTCCTGGAAAAATATGTCCCTTTTCGTGCTAACTTGATGTAATCTGCAATTCAATGGCTTTATGTTCTTTAAAATCTTTCTTGCTGTGAAATTATTCTGAAACTTGTGTAGAAACTCAAAGCTAGAAAACAAGCTCATTAATAAATTTGTATGGGTGGTTGACGGGTGCTTTGGTGTGGTTTGTTCTTCTTTCTTATCAAATATCTGTCATCCGTATCTCTCCCCCCTCCTTTTTTGTATATATTACTCTCTTGCAACTCATCTATTCTTCAGCACTTATGTGACCTTATTGTGTTGCAAGTGCCGTAAAACTCGTACTTAAACTAAACTAATAACTTTGTATTTTAAAATGTAGGTCAGAAGAATTGATTTGGCTCTGCACATATATTATTTGTTCTTTAGGTAGGGAGTTATGATGAAATCTGTGCAGTAGCATGTTTGGTGCACTGTGTATTATTTTGTTGAAAATAAATTAGTCTGACCGAGTTGTACAATGATTTCTACCTTTCACATCTCTATAAGTTAGGTTTTGGTTATGGTTCAAAGATCGGTAGTGTTTTTAAGTTACGTTTGAAATATTATTTTTATGTATCTGGATATGATTTCAATATTTACACCTTGTATGACCTTTTTTTTTTGTCTTTCAGGAATCCTTCAAGTCAAAAGTGGGAGAATTTGTCCAGCTGTATGCCCGGAGATAATGCATGCCTGTTTTTAGGTTGTTTGTCCTAGCGCTGGTGTTCTAAATGTTTTTGTTTATTTTTTACGTGATTACATGCAGTCAGAAGAGCTGCATTGTACAGACTGTAAATTTTCCATGCAACTGGTTGTCTCAATGCTCCATACAGCCTTAATTTGAATGTATTTCTGTGTTTGAGAAAATATCACATTACAAGTAAGATGTGAGTTTGCTCCCCCCCCCCCCCCACCCCTTTTTTTCCCCCTCGATGTTGCTGTCTATATTTATAAAATGTTGCACGTGGTTGTGTCAATACATAAACAGACCTGTAGACTCTCAGCCAATTGGCAGAGTCATTGTCATTCCCACTCTCATGGTGAGTCTCAACTAGCCCCGCTGATGACTCTCTGCTAAATTAAAATGGCCATCATTTTTTTTTTTCTGGTATTTTTTCATCCCCAATATTTTATCTCTGCTAGGATTCTAGTTGTTTGCAAAATGTTAGCTGATCGTTTTAGGGCTTTGTACTTTGCATCTTGTCACTGTTTCAAGTCTCCATGACACACATCAACTGGAATATAAGCAGAAAGGAATAATCTTACTTGGTGTATCTATAAAGTGCTTTGCTTCTGGGATGGGAGTGCAGCCCTGCCCACCAAGTGGTCCCCCCCCCCCCCCCCCTGTTCCTTTATATTACAACAAAACTTTTGTCAATTTAAGCTCAGGGTATTTACAGGTCTGATTATAGAATAAGTGTTTCTTACAGAAACAGTTGTTGTATGTGCTTTGGTCTATGGCAAGAATAAATGAGAGTGAGATGTAAGACTGTTTGAACGCTGTCTCTCCCTGTGTTTCCTAAGACATGACAAAACGGCTTGTTTTGTTACCATGAAACACTCTTGCCTATTTTGTGGCCCTATCTCAGAGCATTCTTGTGTGGCGTGTCCCTTGTAAATTGGAATGAAAAGTTGTGAAATAGAACCAGCTTGCAGTATGTTGTCAAAAATGTTTTATGGAAATATCTTCCCCCAGAAGCACCCTTTTCTGACTATAGCTACAGTAGCGTTGTTGTTATCAGTAATGAATGCGGCATTTCTCAAGCATGATAATAGGCAGTGACAGCCACTACAAAATTTTTGCAGGTATCAGCCTAATTAATGGTCACATTAAATAGGCTGGATTTTGGCTTTGTCTGAAGGACTCTGGAGTCAGCTTCTATCGTGGTGAAATATTAGGTTTCAAAATTTTAATTTGATGTTCTCAGGAACTACTCTTCAGAATTAAAAAAAAATATGTTAAATGCCAATCAAACCTTTGGTTTTGCTAGTGAATTTTTCATTATTTATTTATTTTTTGGTGAGGTTAATCATTGGCGCAAACATCATAAGTGATCCACTTTCTGTTTGTATTTGACACTTACTGCAAGTGCTCGCAGATTGTGCCATTGAGTATTTTTTGACAATAAAAAAAATTCTTGTTGTTAGTCTTATGAAAAGATGTGTTTTTAAAGATGCACCTATTCTGTGTTGAATGGAGGAGACTACACATTGTCTTCTGTGTAGATGGCATGTTTCCTCTCAGTAGCAGACATTTTTTTTTTGTCCATGAATTGTACTGTTGCCAGCATTGATCCCAATTGTTAAAGATCTATGCATTCTTTTCAAATGTTTTGTTTTTATTCTCATGCAGTACACGCAACAGTAACATTTACAGTTTTTGTCTCTTTTTCTCAAATTTTTGTTTCCAATAATCAGAAAATATGTAAATTGGGCAATTATATTGCAAATTTGACCTTCATCTTATGTTTCACAATAAGATGTTATCATTTCCACTATTTAAACTTTTGTGTGTTATTTTTCTCTTTTGTTCGCTGAACTTTCAGTAACAGTGTTAGAATTGGCTTCGAGCCAGTATGTTTGCGTATGGTTAAACTATTGAAGAAATTAAAATAAGTGAACCAAAACATGTGAATTGTAGTTGGATTGCCTGCATGTGCATAAAAGGAATTCATTTCTGCTTGTCTCGTCATTGATTTCAAAACTATTTTCACAGGATGAACCACATGCTTATGTTTTTAAATTTTTTAAAAAGATTTTTATGTGGAAGCAAGAAGTGTTTTCATGAAAGATGTATTTATTGAGTCTTGAATGTGTCATATTTTAGTTTTGTCTGCTTTCTTTTCATATTCATCATAAACTGAAGCCAAACCCTGATAGTCCTCAGATAATTGATGAATACTTCTCCTTTCATGTCCATTATGTTTTCTAAAAAAACGTTTGCAGATTTTCAACTTTATCAGTAAAACTAAAAGAGGAATATTTCTATGCTCAGATATTTGATAATACTACTGAACCAGTCCTTTATTTGCTTTGTGAAACATCTTTAAATGCCTTTAGATTCATTGTTAGTGTAGATCTTTCTGTTCCACTGTGGAAACGTATTGCAGTATGCTTGATGGAGATGTACCTATTTGCAGTATATGCTGTATACGATCAAACCTTGACACCCCCCCCCCCCCTTTTATTAAACTTTATACCCTCTGCCCTGCTTACTGCCAGGTTTTGTCAATTGTTGACAAAGGAATGCCTATATGAACATAGTATTTGCACCTTCACACCTCTATCTGCCACTTGCCAACTGTCTGAGTTGTACAGTCCTTACCAAACTTATGTAAAAATAGAATTACACAGTTATATTGCCAGTGAACTGGTAGCCGGAGATAGGCTTACACAGAACTCATGGCTCATGGTACCCATCGGTGGCTACTTAGAATCTCTTTTTAACACACGTCTCTGTGAGTTCGGCCTATTTCTAATGTTTAATGGTTTTCTCCGATTTGCTCCGGATGTGCACTTTATGAAAATATTACTTTTAGGCTTTAGAAAATAAATTTTAAAAAAGAAATTGAAATGCAATCTTAATGTTGTACATTGAACCATTAAAGAAAGTACTTCACCTCAGCTTTTCAGGAAATATTTGGTGTCGCAAGATATCCGTCCGATGATTAAAAGGCTTGTGGGCGCCTGTGAGACTTTTTTATTGTGATGAATCACATTCAAGTCTTTGTGAAAGGTCTTAAGCACCCCGAGTACTGAGGAGTATCGGAAAAAAACCCCCACCCTAAAATCTTTAAGTCTTCAAGATCTTTGACACAACCTAAATGTACGTAAGTTCAGCTTGTGCGGTACTTGTAATTGGTTGCTACAGGTTTTTCCCCTGGTTATTACAGTCATGTGAGATAGATCTAGATGAATCAGAACTGGCCATTCTAGTCTCTACCAGTCTACCACACGTCGAGATGGCAATGGGTGCTAGCTAACCTGTTATACTTCCAGCTCCACTGTTCCACCAACTTCATGCTCATCCATAGGTAGGCAATTTAACCGGGTTTAACTGTATTTTTACAATTTTGCGCCGACAGTATTCTGATATCCCTGTTAAAACTGCATTTCACTTTTCTTTAACTTTTAAGCTTTTATTGTTTTGTTTCCACCGAGCCGTATTTGTTTTAAAATACAGGGTGTAAATTGTCAATGTAAGAATCTTTGACATTTGTCATTTTCTTGTACATTCTCCGTAAATTCAAAGCTTCGTGCATAATCTTGTAATTGACTGCTTTGGGCTCGCTTATATGCTCTGCATACACATTATTCTGTTTCTGTTGTAAAGGATAAAATCTTTGGGGATGTTGATTATCTAAAGCTGCTTGTCTGTTTACACACCTGTGTGTGTGTGTGTGTTTGTATGTGTGTGTGTTTGTGCGTGTTTACATGTGTTTGGGAGTGTGTGAGCATGTGTGACTGAAAAACTAGTTTGTGAACTGTGGCAGTCATAATGTGTTGCCACTGCATTCTTCCGATCATTGATTGATGTGTGTGCTTGTGTCTGCTTTCTGGTGTCTGTAGTAATGTAATGTTTAGACTTTTCTCCATGCAGACTAAAGACACTAGTTTGATTGGGGAAAATATTTATTTCTGCACTGAGGTGTCCCACACAGCTTGGGTTGGTGCTTATAGGCAACGTCAGAGCAGCCTTCCCCCCCCAAAAAAAAAAGATCTAAAGTTTTGTTGATGGGGATGACAACGTCATGCATGACCTTGAGACTGACAGTGAGCACGATCCTAACATCAGTATTCTTTGATTGTGAGCCTGGTTTTAATATAACGGATGACAAAAATTTTGATTGCTGCGGCAACTGCAAATATGTTTTTGTCGTTTGGCATTTATAATTTTACTAATAATTGTCTTTTGTAATGAAAATGATTAAAGTGCTTAATATAGGGAGTGAAATTGGAGACTGCTTTCACACAGCACATGTATTTTCTAATTTCTAATTGTTTGTAGGCTGATTTTATTATTTTAATACCATGACGGCTTCTCCAGAAATTATATAGTGAATTAAGTTATCATGAAAAAAAAAGCCTGTTGAACTGAAAAATGGAGTTCATGCATGTTTTCTGCAGAAAGAATGTGTATGACTGGAAACCTTAAAATTAAAAGTTCAAGGCTTGCTGTTTGACTCTTTGTGTCTGGGTGTGATTGAGATTTGAGCCTCAGGCAGACAGGCTAGACACACAGGCTGGCAGGGAAAGGCCAGTAACAGAGAAAATGCCGCAGCATCACATGATTAAAAGAAATGTGGATTACATTGAGAGGGTGAGGATGAGATAGCGCTGGCAGGTGAGTTTTAGCAAAGTTTGAGCCCAGTAGTGGGTGAAAGGGTTGATGAGCTACCTTGTCTAGTCTTCTGATGAGCTCAAAGTGTCTGGTCTTGCTTTGCTTTTTGCATATGATAGCTCAAGGTGGTGTTTTTTTAATAATTGTATATATATGAGCAGGTGGATGTGTTTCGTTTGATAGTGAGATTGTTGCCTCCTTCCTTGGATTCCCTTTCCATTTCATGTGATTCCCTCACTGCTTACTGTAACAGGCATGTCACTTTGAAATGATTTTGCTAAACATCATGTCCATGTGGTGCTCAATGTACTCTTTATTTTTTTTTTTCGTTTTGGAATGGATGCTAGTCGGCTTTTGTGTTTAAGCTGATTTTAATTTGCTCTTTGCTGTGTCTTCGCCTCTATATAGTAATGATGCCATGCTGCATGTGTTATTTATTTCAGTGTAATAAACATAAATGTGAGCAGGGTATGATATGTAAATTGGCTTGAACGTGTGTCATCATGGTTCAGTTTTTGTTGAGAGAAAATTCTGAGGGTCTGAGGCCTGTTCCAATTGTTTGAAATTGAATTCCTGATACTACTTTAAGCGAAACTGATGGTCCTTCACATTGGCAAGAAATCTGATGAATTTTCTCTTAAATAATAATTTTCTCTCTCGTTGCAGAGGACAATGCCTCGTCCCTGTCATGAGGGATTAACTGTTAATGCTTTTTGCTGATGATGTGTGTTTCACTTAACTTTGCTTCTCTTTCGACAAGAAGACATCAAGAAGGGCATTATCTACTCTGTTGCTGTTTGTACAGTTTATTTCTTTTTTATTTCTCTTTCACAGACACAAACATGCACTCTTACTTACACACCTGAGAGAGTATGTTATTTGCCTGTGTAATATATCTTAAGGTGGGAGATCTGACTGTCTTGAGATTTGATTTTTTTTTAGAACTGAGATATAATGTGATAGTACACGGCCAGGAGGAATATGTGATGACTCTTCGAGACTGCACCCACCATATCCGCCCACGAGTGTTTCTATTCTATTTTCAACATGCCTAAATGGAAATGGCTGTAGGCGAGTATGTATTGTATGAAGAAAAAGTAGCTATTTCTACACTATTTACCGTTTTTTGACTAAGCACAAGTTTGTTTAATCCCTTTGTTTCTAATTTTTCTGGCCAATGTATTTGAAGTGTGTGTAATTTTTGTCAGTGTGCACCCTTAGACCAAAAAAGAAAATGAGTTATTGCTTTGAAAAATGTATATCCCTGCTGTGCGGTAAGAGAACATTAGTGCATGATGTTAAAAGTTCTTTTATGGGTTCACTCATATTTAAATATTTAGATGATAGGGAGTACACTAACAGAATGGCATCATGCAGAAGAGTTAACGCTCAGATGCTACTGGATCGCTAACAGCAACAACAACAGGGAGTACAGTAGAAATACAAAGACCTGTTGATTTCAACCTTTATTTGAGTTTTTCAAAGTTAACCATGAAATTTTCACAAATCCTGCATCTTAGAGAACAATTTGGCACTCAAAATAAAAGCTTTGGGCTTTAATTAGTTTTATGGTAAAGCAAGTAGCTTGATTCTTAAAGCCACCTTATTCACTGCGGGAAAAGATGAGCATGAGAAAATGTAATTATTTTTTTGCTACTCCTGAAAAAAAGAATTTTTGAGATTCTATTGTTTAGTCTACCTTGGTTTGTACTTGCTGAGTGCTTGTATAGGTATGGCTCATTCAATAGTTTTATTATCTGAAATTTTGGAGAGTAAGAAGTCTGAGATATTATTTTTCTGTCACAAAACTCTTCCCTTTTTTTTAACCCTGAAATGTCCAGGTGGTTGGTGGGTGCTCTGGTATGATGTTCTCTATCTGTTTCTTCCCTGTGTTGCTCTTGTTCTGATCTTCTTCAGAGTAGGATATCGCTGTGTAAACATATATTGATTTTCTTTTTACTGCACTTCAATGAGTAGTACTTGTATGTTTGAAAAATCTGTCTGGATCATCTATGTAGGCTACCCTTTCTGGTTGATGGGGTTTTCTTGAGTGTGTGTGATGTTTCTTTCTGCTTTTTGCAACCCCC